AAATATTGATCTCTTCCAGTTGGTTGACAGGTAGCTGCCTTCCAGATTTCTTGGCATAGATGAGTGTTTCCAGTGTTGCATCCATTTGTTGAAACATCTCAATTGGTATTCTGTCAATTCCTGGCCTTGTTTTTCACCAGTGCCTTCAGTGCAGCTTAGACGTCTTCCTTAAGTACCATCAGTTCTTGATTAGATGCTGCCTTCTGAAATGGTTGAACGTCGATCAGTTCTTTTTGTACAGTGACTCTGTGTATTCCTTTCATCTTTTGATGTTTCCTGCATCATTCAATATTTTGCCTATAGAATCCTTCAGAATTGCACCTCCAGGCTTGAATTTTTTTTTTTTTTTTTTTTTCCCAGTTCTTTCAACTTTGGAAATGCTGAGTATGTTTTTCCCTTTTGGTATTCTAACTCCAGATCTTTGCACATGTCATTATAGTACTGTACTTTGTCTTCTCAAGCCACCCTTTGAAATGTTCTGTTCAGCTCTTTTATGTGATCATTTCTTCCGTTTGCTTTAGCTACTCTACATTCAAGGGCAAATTTCAGTCTCTACTGACATCTGTTTTGGTCTTTTCTTTCTTTCCTGTCTTTTTAATGACCTTTTGCTTTCTTCATGTATGATGTCCTTGATGTCATCCCACAACTTGTCTGGTCTTGGGTCATTAGTGTTCAGTGCATCAAATCTATTCTTGAGATGATCTGTAAATTCAGATGGGTTAGACTCAAGGTCACACTTTGACTCTCATGGACTTGTTTTAATTTTCTTTAGCTTCAGCCTGAACTTGCATGTGAGCAGTTGATGGTCTGTTCTGAAGTTGCCCCCTGGCTTTGTTCTTACTGATGATATTAAGCTTTTCCATCATTTCTTTCCACAGATATAGTTGATTTGATTTCTGTGTATTTCATCTGGTGAAGTCCACATGTATAGTTGCCATTTATGTTGTTGAAAAAAGATATTTGCAGTGAATAAGTCAGTGACCTAGGTTCCTTCAAGCTCACACTCTATGATCCTTAAGATGAGGCCTTCCTGCTCATGCCCCAAATGGTGGATTTCACACGCCAGGTAGCAGAATAGAATAAAGATTCAAAAGGAAATGCAAAGGGCATGTGCCAGCTGTCTTTTAAGGGAAAGGTCCAGAAGCTGCCTGATGATATGTTTTTGCTTATATCCCATTGGCCAGAATTTAGTCATACTAGCTACACCAACCTGCAAGGGAGGTTGAAAATGTAATATCCTTCTGGACAAACATAGCCCACTAAATAATCTATTACACAGAAGAAGGGGAAAATAAGTATTGGGAGAAAATTTATAACCATACCTTTCTTTTCAGTTACAAGGGCTCCATGATATCAGTGGGTGGAGTTATATAACAATCTCCTGTGATACCTGAGGCATAGTGGCGGTTGCAGAGTAGTGCAGAAGTTAAGAGCATGGACTCTGGAGTCAGATGGGCTGGATTTGAGTCTAGGTGTTTCTCTATGTAAAAAGGAAATAATATTAGTACCTTCCTCTTAGAGTTGTGATGATTAAATGAAATACTGAATATAAAGCATTAAGCACGTTATTGAACACTTCAAACCATTTGATAAATGTTAGCTCTTATTAAAAGTAAAATGTTTTTGAGCATCCAAATGCATATAAATTTTCTGTACATCCCTATAATTTGGAGGATAAATTTACATTTTCCAGATATAATAAGATTCAGAGTGGTTTACATTTTATTTCTAACTGTATTTTTGTCCTATTGGGAAAAAAAAATTGCCGTGTGCATTCTTGGTTGAGAGTGGAGTGGTTCTTGATGAAATCTGTGAGTGATTTTCATTAATTTTGGGTGGGCCCTGCGTGTTTCATTGACCCCATCCTACAGACTCTTCTTTGCACCAGTTTTAGTATGATGCATACTTCACATTAAGTATTTCCAGGAGTAAATACATTAAGTATTTCCACTCATGTAACAAAGCAGGAATTGTGTACCACATCAAGAGGAGAAGGCTAAGACAACCTACATAATGGGAGGAAATATTTGGAAACCATGTATCAGATAAGGGTTTAATATCCAGAATTTATAAAGAACTTTTAAAAGTCAACAACAAAAAGACTAAAGAATTGAAAGTAGTGACTCAAAAAAAAAACACATGTAAAAATCATTGCACCATTATTCATAATAGCTAAAAGTAGAAACAATCCAAGTGCCCTTCAACATATGAATGGATAAACAAATTGTGGTATATAAGTACAATGGAGTGTTACTCAGCTATAAAGAAAAATGAAGTTCTGATCCATACTACCATAAGGATAAACCTTGAAAACATTATGTTAGGTGAAATAAGCCAGACACAAAAGGACAAATATTGTATAATCCCACCTGTATGAAATATCTGGAGTAGGTAAATCCATGGAGACAAAAGAAGATTGATGGTTGCCACAGAATGGTGGGAGAGGAAAGTGGGGGGTGGGGGGGAGGATCATAGTGTCCACTGAAAATTGGTGAATTGCATTTTATGTGAATTATTCCTCAATAAAGATTTTTAAAAATAGAAGGAAAAAAAAAGGCCATCTTTGGATGGGTGAGGTTTAAAAATGGCAACATCTAGAATTAATGTCAACCAAAATGTAGAAATATGTATTTGTTCTTCATTTAGAAATGGTGATAGGAGGAAAGTGGATGAAACTGAAGCTTGAGACTCTAACTTTGATGTGACAATTTCCTTATGATTACAAAACAAACAAAATAGCTGTATTAAGATATTTATTGCCAATACCTAAATGCTCTTTTGCTTCTCTCTTTTTCTTTCTTTCTCTAAGCCCCTTCTTTGTTCTGTGGGTTTTCTTTTGTAACTCCTCCAGACTACAGCTTTGTTCCCCCTTCTTCCACTCCTTTCTGGTCAGGTACTGTTTTACTGCTTTTATAAGTCTTTTCAACTTGCTTCTGTTTGCAAATAAAATATTTTGACTTCTATGTATGGCTTCTCATATAGATACATCTCCCCACAAACAGTCCCTAGAGGTTCATTACCACCATGTACTTTCTTCTTCTCTGTCATAAAGTCATTGTTTGTCATGACATTTCACTTCTGGTTTTGTGTGTGCTCGTGTTAATGTATTTTAGCTGTTTTGAGGAGAGACTGAAGAGGTATTAGAAGTATAAAGAAAGAGGGTTGAAGCACTCTCCAAAATCATTAGTTTTCTTCAGAATGAGAAATATTAGTTGAGAAAAGCTAGTGCTTATGCATATTCATTAAGTAAATAAATAGAACCAAAATCCCAACTTTGTCTCAGAATAGAAGAGTGAAATTCAGTAGATATTGCTTGGAAAGAATAATGGGTGCCCGTCAACTCTATAGCTCTTCAATTGGTGCACGGGCATTTTGGTCTTAATTTCTGTCATTAGCCACAGAGTTTAATGGCTACTTATATGACATTTAGAGGAGTACATTATGGCTAGGTAAAGTATGTTTTCTTATAGATTTTCAAAAATTAGTACATGGGTCCCAATGGAATCATGGAATTTAGAACTAGAAGGACTTTAGAAGTCATCTAGTTCAAAGCTTTCATTTTATAGATGAGGAAAATGTAGCCTAGAGGAGTTAAGAGACCTGTGCAAAGTCCACAGTTAAGTTGATGATTGGGTTTTTCCATCACAGGGGTGTTCTTATGTACACCAACTCTAAGAGTAGTGCCCCAGTAATGGGACAGTTTTCAGTAAGAAAACTACTAAAGTCATTTGTGTCCTGTACAGTCAAATAAAATGACTGATTTTTACGCCCTTTATAGTTCTGCAATCTGCAGCTTTGCCATTCATTTATCTTATGATCAACACCTGGGGGCTAAAAAAGTCCTGTCATTGCAAAGCCATGAAAAATAGCTGGAGAGCCCTGTCTCCAAGTGGGTGGGCTCCTCCAGGGTAACACGAGTCACAGCTGCTGCTGCCAGAGGCGGGGAGGGGGCACCAGGGGCTGTTGGAAATGCAGGTGTGTGGTGTTTCCCGTTTGTCTATTTTTCTTACACTTCACTTCCTCTACCAATCTCGGCTGAGTGATTCTCAGAATCACTGAACATGTAATTGAAAACACTTTATAACCCCAAAGAGCAACAGGTAGAGAAGTTAATACAAAATGTGTTAGGAAGCGCTAGAGACGAACAAAGACATACAGCTTGATCAGAGTTTTCCTTGCAGAACAGCAACAGGACAGGCCGGGGCAGGGAGTGAGTTAGTGCCTTTCCTACCTCCCCACCCGCTGCCACCACCAAATAGCTCTGAATATAGGAGGCAAACACCCTGACATCTTGTTTTTTATTAGCTACTTCAGTAAGGAGGGTTTTCTTTAAGGCAGCATCCGTTTGAGAGAAGGAAGATCTATGGATGGTGTTTATGTGTTCTTTCTGGAAAACCTGATTCAGGCTTCTTCACATAAATGAAATTACATATAAATCAATAACCGACTTTATCCCCAAAGAGTTATAACCAAAATGCCTGGGGGAGGGGGGAATGTTCCATTTAACTAGAAATGATGACATCGACTTGACAGGAGACTTTTTGAGGAAAAAAAGAAATTGTTTTGAATATTAGTTGAAGAAGTTACTTTGAGATTTACATTAGATAAAAATGTAAAGATTGGATCTTAGAGGTTCTAGTTATAGATTGATTACTGTGCCATCAATAGGAACTTTGTGCTAAAGTTCTTTCAGATTCTGTCTCCTTAGATAGTAAGTTAGATATTGACCTGCTTCTTACAAAAACCAGTCTCTATTCTGAAGTTCTTATGAAGAATGTGAAAACAGAACACTGGCTCTTTAAACTTTGTGAAATGAGCTTGACTATACCTGATTGAATTGAAACAGCAACTCTGCCGCTTTCAATCTCCCCTGTCATAATCACTAGTCTGTAATGGAATCACGGCTGTGCATTCTGATAGCATCAATGACATTCATCTGATTAGGTTCTATGGTTGTTAACCACCTACAAATTAACTCTGACTCCACCATTTCTTTACAGTGTTGAGCCCCAAAGTGCTGGGCATCGCCATTGCCCGGTATGACTTCTGTGCAAGGGACATGCGGGAATTGTCTTTGCTGAAAGGCGATGTGGTGAAGATTTACACAAAGATGAGTGCAAATGGCTGGTGGCGAGGAGAAGTCAATGGCAGGGTGAGTTGTCTCTGTCAGTGAAGCTGTGTGCCTGGATGAAGGGGGTAGGTGGTCAGGCACCCAGTGTGGTGCTGGTGAGAAGCCCCTGTAGTGCCTTTGCAGCTTCACCCTACAGCTTACAGCCCCTGGCTTCCAGACACTTGTGCTGTACCTTGCCGATAATAGGCACTCATTAAATATGTGTTGAATGGACACTGTAGCATAAATAAAGTTCCCCATGGACAAGTTGATGTCTTCCTATTGGGAAAGGGTGCAGTGTTACCAGAAGCATTTCAGTATTTTTAGTCCCTAAGCCTTGAGCATAAACTTTATGTCTAGTTAAAATATCTATAAGAGCTGGTGATCTAAATTGGAAAGAATGGGGCATAATACCTCTGTCTTTACATCCCTTTCTGTAGCAGAAATAGAAATCATTATGTAGTAGATCCCCGTCTTACAATTAATTTACATATTTATTTGTGTGCCAGCAGATTAGAACGCTGTTTAAGCTTGTTTTATTCTTGCATTTCTATCACTCACTCTATCGGGCTTCTAAGAATGGTTATACCAATCTTCTTCACCTACAACGGGCATAAAAATCCTGCTTAATTGGAGTGTTATGAAAACAAAATGCGCTGTTTGTAGAATGCTTTGAAGTGCCAGATGCAAAGTAATGTTGCTATGTTGGTTGCTTTTCTTTTGTAGGTGGGCTGGTTTCCATCCACGTATGTGGAAGAGGATGAATAAATTCCATTTCAGCTTTGCAGTCTGCACCAGGAATTTCAGAGAAGGGATAAACAGAAGTCTGCACAGCACTATGAATTAACTGAAGTGTTTAAAAAGCTGCATTTCTGGCTGTTCAACATCCCCCCTTTCCCCCTCCTAAGTCTTAATGCTGGGATTTCTAAAGATGCTGGTACTGACAGATTAATGGCTTGCCTACAGCCATGCAGGAAACAGCCTGCCAGTCTGTCGTTGTCAGGGACCAGGGCAAAGCCAAAAGCTGTTCTTCCCAGAGAGCCCTGATGCAAACGCATTGGTTCATGTTTCTCTTCCTGCATCCGGTCAGACACCAGGAATGTCAGCCATTAGTAAATGTTTACTGCATATTTACTTTCTTTCCACGTCCCATTCACCAGGATTTTCAATAGTAGAAAGAACCAGACTTAATTTTGCTTTTCCCAGCAAGAAGAAAATCAGAGCTTTGCCATTTGGGCAGCTTACTGGAAAGGCCCAGCATTAATTCTCTTAAACTGTCCAGCCAGGTGACTCATTGCCTGGCAAGCACTTTCACCCCCAGATGTTCCTCCTGGTAAAGTAAAAGAGGCAAATACTGAGGTTTGCTTCATAAGTGATGTATGCCACAGGGGTTTTGGTGATTCGTTTGATTTCCTGATTATATTTGCAAACTTTTTTTTAAAAAGAAAAAAGCACATAAAATAATCTTCATATTAAATCCTCAAAACTTTCATGATTTTGTAGGGTGATTTTGGAAATGTTATACTTCACTTACTGAAATAATCTTGGCCTGGTATATTATGGGTAGTTGCAAGTACCCTGAGTAAGGTGGCATTGTTTACAGAAAAGGGTCAAGGGCTCTCATTTGTAGTAAGTCATTTTATAGCAGCAATATCTGCTAACACATGCTCTTCTCTCCCTGCAAAGAAGACCTAAGCAGATTTGCTGATTTCCACATTTTCCTGGAGTATCTAAGGTCACATAAACAACTTTGTTGAAGATTGTTTAAAGAAAGCACAGTTATGTCAATTAAGCATTTCTGGGACAGAGAGGGTCACCAGGCTTTTCAGCTCTTGTTCGCTATGGGCTTCCAGCTTCTCTCTGAGTGTCTTCCCATCTGCACGCCCTCTCTGGGGGTGTATTAAATAGTGGAAAGATGCATTTCACAGTGCATTTATTTTACCAAACCTTCACTGTTTTATGTGAGGAATCTGAATAGGTTCTTCCTGGGATGCCCAGAGTCCCCAGTCAGGGCAGTCAAGTAAAGACATTAACTTGGCCCTTTGCTGATTAAATATTTTCTCCAAAGCGAAAGTCATGTTCTGACAAGATTCAGAGAGTGTTTCTTGTGTAAAAAAAAAAAAAAAAAAAAAAAATTGGAAGCATTAGTGTAATAGACCAGGCTAAGAACATTCAGTTCCAACATTTTGGATCATTTCTGAAGTGAGGTGTATGTGGCCTGCCTGCTCCCCAACCCACTTTGATGTCAGAACTTGATGTTGCGTGGACACATCCCATGACAGACACCTTCGCGGGCTAGGACTTCTCATCTAGGATAAATTCAGGATGTTTACCTCAGAATTATGTAAACTGTGATTGTGTTTTAGAAAAACGATTATTTGCTAAAACCAGTTAAGTTTTTGTATATGTGTAAATGATCACTAGAATGTGTTTTTATAAAATGTTCTGTACAGTGAAGTTCTACTCTGGAGGCGTGCTCTTAGAGTGCATTCTTTCTTATAAAGTTTTATCTGCGACTCTATCTAGGGAATGTTCTGTCTGTTACTGTCAGCAAATGTTGTTGGAGAAAACAGCTTCACACAAATTGAAACACTCCTGTGTACAGTATTGTAGCTTGAGTTGTTTATTTAGCAAATAGACTCCCACCCTTAAAAATGGTGTTTGGTCTTCCTGCTGCATTTCATGGACCTGGGGATTTCCTAGCAGAGGATATTAGAGCCCCTTTTCCTGACATTACCAATTACATCTCTTTGTCTATGTTTAATACTTTGTATTGAAAACTTTAAATGCTGCAAATTTATGTAGATTTCTAATACCAAAGACAGAAGTAAATGTTTTTCCATATACTTTGTCTTGCCTGTATGCAGCCCTTGTGTAATATGGTGAATTATAGTGGTATTTCACTTTGTAATATTTTGTAAATATGTCAGTAAAATAGTGATGACTTGCATTAAATTTATTTCTAGAGAGTTGGAGAATCTTTCTATTGAATGATTGCATAACTCACATATACTGAACTCATAATAAACATGGGAGCAGGAGTCTCGATTTTGATCAGGTTTAGCTTAGACCTACTGCATAAGTTATGAGCAGAGAACTATAGAGTACGTAGCTGCAAATAACAGGTATTGACATGCCTACTATGTGTCAGGGTAGCACAAACGGTTAAGCATTTGACTACTAACCTAAAGGTTGATGGTTCGAACCCACTCAGAGGCATGTCAGAAAAAAGGCCTGGCAGTCTGCTTCCAAAAGGTCATAGCCTTAAAAACCCCATGGAATATAGTTCTACTCTGCAACACATGGGGTCACCAGGAGTTGGAAGCAACTCAACAGCACCTCGTTTTTTGGTTTGGTACTGCATGTCACCCACTGTTCCAAATGCTTTATGTGCATAAACTTCCAAGAACCCCAGGAGGTAGAGCCCCATGTTACCTCCATTTTTCAGACAAAATGGAGGCCCAGAGAGGTTGTAACTGCCCAAGGTCACACAGCTAGTGTCAGAGCTGGGGTTCAGACCCAGGCAGTCTGGCTTCAGAGCCCACATCCTTAACCACTCCCCTATACTGCCACATTGTATGCACTACAGCATCTTAGGTGAGAGAGATTAGTTATGTTTCTAAGATTGTATAGCCAAGAAGAAACCCAAACCAAAAAAACCCAAACCCATTGCCATCGAGTCGATTCCGACTCACAGTGACCCTATAGGACAGAGTAGAACTGCTCCGTATGGTTTCCAAGGAGAACCTGGTGGATTCAAACTGCCAATCTTTTGATTAGCAGCCATAGTCTTAACCACTACACCACCAGGGTTTCCGAGAAGAAACCATTTGGTACTACATAGTGGTTTAAACAATTGAAGATTAACCCAGAATTTGGAAACATTCCCCTAACTCTGCCCCCTGAAAGAAAACCCCTGAACAGATAATTGCCTAGAGTGATTGCTGTCAGAGATTGAACTTTTTTTCTATTTTGATTCAACTCTTGCCGTAGAATATAAGTAAATGCAGAACCAGGGAGACTCAGAGGCAAGTTCTCCTTGTGCCGAGCAGGTGCGCACGTTGTCCACGGTGGTGGAGGGTCTCGGAGAGATGATGGAAGCACATTCCTTCTAAGGACCAGGAAGGGCCAGGGTTCCACAGTGGTAGTCGCTGCTAGACATCACCATCACATCTGTGCTCAGAAATATAAAATCCCCCCATTTCACTACAGTCTGGTATATTCTACAGCCCTCACGTCCTTTATTTCAGAAGCTGATTCCATTGGTGTGTTTATTTTATCATTTCTACATATTAAAATTCATGTGACTTTTAGATCTTGTATCACGTCATCACCATCCTAATGACCACCACTGATCATGTTTTGTGACAGTTCAGAGACTGCCTGTTTATTGGTTAACATGGGCATATATCCTTTAAAACATTTCAACTATTTTGTCTTCTATCAAATAATTGAAGTAAAATGTGTCAGTCGCCCGTCTTTAGGAGCCATGCTTTGATTTAATTCATTTGACAGCTGTATAGAAGAGGAGCCTTGGTGACACAACAGTTAAGTGCTTGACTGCTGTCCAAAAGGTTGGTGGTTGGAACCCACCCAACAGCTCCATGGGAGAAGGATGTGGCAATCAGCTCCCTTAAAGATTACAGCCTAGAAATCCCTATGGGGCAGTTCTACTCTGTCATATGGGATTGTTAGGAGTCAGAATCAGCTCAACAGCACCTAACAACTACAGTAGAAGAGTCATAAAAGCATGCCTGCCTGGGTTTATATCCCAGCCCCGCCATGCAGGGTCTCAGCCTATCGATACAATAACAGCACCTGCCTCATAGGATGGTTGTGAGATTGAACTGAAATCATGCATATAAAATGGAACCGTGCTGGCTTATCCTGAGCCATTTTTGTTGTCACTGGATGGATTTATTAACACGTGGGTAGTTGCCATCTTCAACCTTGAATGCCTTAGATAATTCAGATTCATTTATTGGATTATAACCAGTTGCTGCCAAGTGGATTCTGACTCATAGTGACCCTATAGGACAGAGTAGAACTGCCCCATAGGGTTTCCTAGGCTGTAATCTTTATGAGAGCCGATCACTAGGTCTTTTCTTCCGTGGAGACGCTGGTGGGTTCAAACGGCTGATCTTTCAGTTAGCAGCTACGTGCTTAACCACTGCACCACCAGGGTTGCTTATTTATTGGATTAAGGAGTAAAATTCTGCATATTCTAAATTAGATAGCCTCTCTAGGAAGTAAATCAAATCATCTGTTGTCATAGGAAGAGTGGGAGTTTTAGCATTAGTCAGACCTGGGTTCAAACCCCAGCTCTGCCGTTAACTTTCCTGAACATCAGTTTCCTCTTCTGGAATAAAGGGCTACTCCCTGGTAGCACAATAGTTAAACATTTGGAGCTAACCAAAAGGTAGGCAGTTCAAATCCACCAGCAGCTCCTTAGAAATCCTATAAGGAAGTTCTACTTTGTCCTGTGGGGTCACTATGAGTTGGAATCGACTCGACAGCAATGGTTTTTTATTTTTTTTTTTAGGTATCTGACAAAGCTGTTGTGAAGAATAAAATAAGGTATCATATGAAAAAGATCTCCAAGGCACAGCCTGGGACATAGTGAGTACTCAAGAAATGTCGGTCTCCTTCCCTTTATGAATAGTAAAATACCAAAGTACCAAATTACATACTTGCAGCCTTTATTTTGAATACCATTGATAGCCCAGGCTTTCTTCGTTACACATAGTTTAATTTTCAGCATTAAAATTATAGATGGAGTAAAAGGTGTATGTTCAGGAAGATTAATATGCAAACCCACAAACAATCTCAGAAGTTGAATTTAACAGCTTCACATTATTTTAACTAGGAAAATAGAATTTTCACCCAGCTCATAATCATTTAGACTTAGTTCATTAGTCACTTCATTTTTCACCGAAACTAGTTTTCTGGGATTAGTTGGACTCTGATTAGAAATGTTATACACCCACGTCCTGCAGATTTTAGAAGGCACCTTATTGTAAGTAAGAGACAATGCAGAAAAGTAGGTTTAAAAAGGAATTTTCTCTCTAGTTAGGTGCCATCAGCGAGGCCATATTGGGGGAAACAATGACAGAAAACCAAAAAACTTCATTTGAAGCACTCTAGACCCTGCCTCTGCCCCTGGAATAGCAGACCAAAGCCCAAACCCACTGCCATCGAGTCAATTCTGACTCATGGTGACCCTACAGGACAGAGTAGAACTGCCCCATAGGGTTTCTGAGGCTATAAATCTTTATGGGAGCAGACTGCCACATCTTTCTCTCATGGATCAGCTGGAGAGTGCGAACTGCAGACCTTTTGGTTAGCAGCCAAGTACTTTCAACACTGTGCCAACTGGGCTCATTGGAATAGGAGAAACATCCAGAATTTCTAGGCACAGTGTATTAATGCAGTGTGACTCCACACTGTGACCAGGTACATAGCTGGGTGGTAAGTGGCCTCACTGCAGAATCTGCCTTCGTGCCCTGTCCTCAAATGGATGTATAGGTCTTTGTGTTGATGGTCCTGGGTGAGGGGAAGGAGAACTCCGGAATGGCCCATGTGTCCAATCTATTGTCAGCTGATAGAGCCTCAACCCCTCTCACCAGCCCAGTGACCTGGGGCAAGCCATACTTTGCCTGTCCATGTCTTCATCCTGCAAATTAAGGGGTTGTACTGGTTGACCTCACTTGTGGAAGCTAACTCTACATTCTCTAGCTAAACAGCTAATTGTGCTTTGACCTTTAAAAGTTGGGCACTCTGTGTGGATGTCTATGACTGAACCTTAAAAGCTGCAGCTATTCAGGGTAGCACTGGTAGAGTTGATCAGTTCTTGGCTGATGTCCTGATGTAGCCTCTAGCTCTGAATTAATTGCCTGGGAATTTGTGCTTCTGGACATCTCCCAGCATCTCCCAGCCACAGCAGCAGTGCGTTTCAGCTGTACTACACCCTGTCCACAGATGGTGGAAATTCAAATCATCTACATCTAGTATGTATTTTCCTTCCACCACTGGTAATAAAAAAGTAAAAATAAAAAGCCTTTCATTTGCAATCTGTTTTACAGTTCTCAAAATCCTTTCACATATCTCATTTTATGGGATTTGGAGCAGCACAATCCAGAGAGGCAGGTGGTGGTGTTAGCTGCCCTCAAGTTGGCCTCCAACTCATGACCACCCCGTGCACAATGGAATGAAATGCGCTGCCCTGTCCTGTGCCATCTCGATGATAGGTTCAGGATCAGACCATTGTGATCAATAAGGTTTTCACTGGCTGAATTTTGGAAGCAGATCACCCAGCCTTTCTTCCTAGTCCACTTAGTCTGGAAGCTCAGCATCATAGCAACACTCAAGCCTCCACTGGCAGGTGGTGGCTGCACTTGAGGTGTATTGACTGGAAATTGAACCTGGGTCTCCCACATGGAAGGTTAGAATTCTACCACTGAACTGGCCTCTTGAGAGGCAGTTACCAAAAATCCAAACTGTTTGCTGTCAAGGTAGGGCCACCTTATTCTCTTTCCATTTTAGAGATGAGAAAACTGAGACTCTGTAAGATGGTCCAGTTTGCCCAGGGTCACACAGGTTGGAAATACTGGCAAAGTAAGGACTCAAACCCACATCAAATGAATGTTCTTTACATTTATCTGTGATATAGCAGTGCCACAGGAGCTTCTGATTTTCCAGAATTACCTCTGTAATTCCCAAGGCCTTTCTTCTGAAAATCGTTCCAGGGAGCTACTGCCAACACTGTGGGCAGCTGCTGGGGTCCTGGGTCAGGTGGGAATGTGGCTGGGTCAAAATTCTCGCACAACTTGCTATCAGTGTGTATTGATGAGTCTGAAATGCATCAGTGGGTCAATAAACTGAGTAATGACATGAGAGTCTTATCAATGAGTGAGTGTGGGGTTTTCTAGTGATCTGAATTGCCTCTCCTCAGAAAAAGGA